CTCACTGTGTTCTACTGTCTTCATGCCTTTTTAGTCCAGCTTAAATTTCATGGGCCATTATTACATTAACTCTCTGGTAAATATCCTCAACTCTTTTTGACTTTTACCTACAAAAACCCCAAATCTGGGTGGACCCAACCTCCCACCCTGGGCCTATACCACGTGACTGAATGTTGCTGAAATAAATCACAGTACTGTGCAGAAATGGTTTGCAATTTGTTATCACAAGCCTCAGGTGGACTCGGCAAGTGCCTAGCCATGTTACTGAGTTTCTCAGTCTTCCCTTTTCTCTTTAGATCAACTGCTTTATGCTTTCTTTCCTCACACCCCTCAGCCTCTTTCCCTGCTCAGCTGACTCCCTCACAGCAGAGTAAGCTGAGGAAACATGCCTTCAGTCCATAGTGTGAAGTCCACTTCATCTCTTTTTTCTTTTGTGCCTGTGTTTTTTTTGGTGTTGAAACCATACCTTGATTCAGGGCCATGGAGGTTTACTCCCGTGCTTTATTTTAGGAGTTGTGTTGTTTTAGCATATGATGCATCTGAATTCATTTTTGTATCTGCTGTGTTGTAGACGTCCAAATGCATTTCTTTGCAGTGTATTGTCTTGGTACCATTTGTTGAAAAGACTCTTCTTTCCCCACTGAACGATAGAAAATATATGGGCTATACATGTAAGGATTTATTTCTGGACTCTCAGTTCCATTTCATTGATCTCTTTGTCTCTTCTTTATGCCAATACTACACTGTCTTGATTACCATAGCTTTGTTAAGTAAGTTTGAAATCGGGAAATGTGAGTCTTTCATCCAGAGATTCTTAAGCTTTTCTTTGGGTCACAGAAATAAAATAACTAGGGGTGGGAGTGTGACTTAGTGTTGCAGCACTTGCCTAGCATGCCTAAGGCCTTGGGTTCATCCCCAGAACCACAACCTCAATCAGACAAACTTTAAACAGTTAGGATTAGCGTAATCACCATTTTTTTTTTTAACATTTCCAATTGGACAAATACAGTAAATTTCAGTTCTATCCAGAGGCAAATTGTAATTTCCTGATTCAATTACATGCATTCAGTATTCATATAGAAATGTCATGTTATTTATTTATTTATTTTCAGTCCTGGGGATTGAACTCAGGGCTTTGTGCTCTTGAGGAAGGCGCGGTGCCACTGAGTTAAATCCCCAGCCCCATATTACTTTCTTAGTTGGTTTTGACTTTTTAGACTTGCTTGCATTAGGCTGTCTTCAGATTCTGAGGCCTCAGTAGCAAATTTGTTAGAATTCTCAGGGAAGAGCAGGCTTGTTTGGAGTATCCAGAGGTCAGTGAAATTCATGGTGCTTTGATATGTCATTGTAGTTACTGAATTAATATGGTCCAGGAGTTTTGTTTGGTTAATTTTTTACATGGATATAGATAAAATTTTACCTTTAACATGTTTTAATTAGGAAATAACAGTAGAGAAGTGTCTAAGACATAAATGTGCAGTTAACTCAATAATTATAAAATGTAAACCCATGTAATAACAGTCTCCCAGGACCCAAGACCCCTCCATTCTTTCCAGATCACAGCTCCCAAGAGGAAACCACTGCCTTGATGTTGTGACCCATCCCTTCCTTTTCTACACAGTTTTATTAACCCTGAACAGCTTCCCCTACTTTTTTTGGGGGGGTACCGGGGATCGAACTTGGGTCCTTGCCCTTGCGCAGCAGGTGGCAAAAACCACCTAGCTAAATCCCCGGCCCTCAGCCAGTAGTACTGTATAAAAGTTTCTATTGCTTATCATCGTCAATGTTTGGTATCATCGACATTTTAATCTTTTTTTTTTCATTTTAATCTTATATGTTGTGGTTTTATTTTATATTTCTCCCAATTGTGAGGTTGCATACTTCTCATGTTTGTATAGCTGCTTGGATTTCCTGTTATGATGTACCTATTCAAGTCCTTAATCTGTTTTTCTTATGGGGTGCTGGTGCTCCCCGCCTCCCTGAATTCATTATATTCTGAGTGTAATTTCTTTGGTGATTATCTGTATTTTAATGTCTTCTACTCTGGCTTATTTCATTCTTTAGTGAGCAGAAGTTATTTTAATATGGCTGAAGTTACCAGTTTTTTCCCTTATGGTCAGTGTTTTTTGTTTTTGTTTTGTATTTTGATTAAGATAACTGCCAGAAAGTAAAGATTTTTTTTGTATTATGATATAAACCTTTCTACTTTCCTCTTTGGTTTGTGTTTAGATTTATAATCTTTATTGGAATAAATATTTATGTTGTGGGGTAGGGTGTCTAATTTTATTGTTTCCTACACAGATGTAGAAAATGTTTCTCAGAACCTTTTATTGAAAGCCTTTCCTTGCCTTGTGCTCTGTAGTGCCTCCTGTGTTACACATAAGTGTTCGAATGTTCATAAGTCTGTTTGCGGGCCTAGCCATCTATTCTGAATTACCTTGATTCTGGTGGCTTGAAAATAAGTCTTGAGGCCGGGGATTTAGCTCAGTGGTTCCGCTGCCTGCCTTGCAAGAGCAAGGACCCGAGTTCGATCCCTGGTACCAAAAAAAAAAAAAAGAAAATAAGGCTTGATACCTATTTGAGGGTTTCCCCCTCTGGGAATACCTACCTGTCTTCATATTCTTAGCCCTTTACAGTTCCACATCAACTTTAGAATTGGAACCTTGTCAGGTTCCACAGATTTTGATTGGGATTACATTGAATCTATAAATCACTTTGAGAAGAATTTATATTTTTACATTATTGAACTTTACACCCATGATTATGACATAAATCTCCCCTTTATTTAAATATTCTTTAGAGTATCCCAGTAATGTTTTATAATTTTCCAAAGAAGTCTTGCATAGGTTTTGTTAAATTTATTCTAATGTAACTTCAAATTTTTTTTTCTTTTTGAGACAGGGTCTCACCATGTAGTTCAGGCTGGCCTTGAACTCACTAAGTAGCCCAGGCTGGCCTTGAACTTGTGGCAATTGTCCTGCCTCAGCCTCCTGAATGCCAGGATCACAGGCATGCACTACCATGCTAGCAACTTGATTTTTTTGTTGTTGTTTTGGTACCAGGGATAGAACTTGGATCCTTGCGCTTGCCCAGCAGGTGGTGAAACCACTGAGCTAAATCCCTGGGCCACTTGATTTATTTTAATGCAGTTGTACATATTGTTTTATTTCATTTTAAGCTTTATATTGTTGCTATATGGAAATATGATTACTTTTTAATGTACTAAAAGTGTACTGTATATAGCAATCTTTTTATTGCTTTTTACAGTTATCAATAGATACATGTTTTTTGGTTATTTAACCACTGCCTTTGTAAATGACAGCTTTTTTTCTTTTCCCATCCCTATACCTTTTAATTCTTCTTCTTATTTTACTACACCAGCTTGATACTCTGGCATAGTGTTTATCAGAAGTGATGATAACCGATATTTTTGTTGTGGTCTTAATCTGAAAGTGACTGCTTTCATATTTGTGTAGAATTTTTTGGAAGTACCCTTTATTGGATTCTGGAAGTGTCCTCTACTCTTAATTTACTAAAGGGTTTTGTTTGTTTGCTTTTTAATTGAAGTAAATACTGACTTTTATCAAATACTTGCCCTGAATCGTTTCAAATAGCCACATGATTTTTTTTCTTGGAATCTATTATAATGTGGTTCATTTCACTGATTAGAATTTTTAGTGTTACAGGCCACCTTGTGTTCCTGATGGTGAGCCAGCTTGATATTTGCATCTTTGCTGCTAAGTGAGGGTGACTTGGACTCATCCTTTTCAAATATTGGTACCAAAGTTATACTGTCATAAAATAAGTTAGGGAATAAATTCTTTTTTCTACCCTCTGTGGAAAATTTTATATAGTATTTATATTATTTATTCTTCAAATAGTTTATACAGCTTTGCTTCTGAGGTCTTCTGGGCCTGGAGTTTTCCATTCCAGCATAAACACCCTCTTTTATACTTCATTTTGCAGAATCAGTTGTTTCATCTTGTTTGTTTTCATTCCTGATATTGAGAATTGATATTGGATAAGGTTTGCCAAGTTTGTAAGTTTTTTCAAATAATTTTTGGCATTGATGATCTGTTACATGTTTTCTATGTCATACATCTCTAATTTTCCTTGCTTCTGTTGCTAAGGGTTTTTTTTGTCACTTTTTAAGGCATATGCTTAAACTCAGTAATTTCAGCCCTTTTTTTCCCCCTCCAGTACATTCACTTAAGGATATACATTTCTGTTTGTAGATTCTGCATCCTATAGATGTTATGTAGTATTTTCATTGTTGTTCAGCTTAAAATAATTTTCATTATGACATTTGATTCATATCTTATTCACATTAATTCCATAACAATGACAGTCACATAAGGTTGAGGATTTTTTTACTTTCTTTCTTTCTTTTTTTTGGTACTGGGGATCGAACTCGGGTCTTTCCGCTTTCGAGGCAGGCAGCAAAACCACTGAGCTAGATCCCCAGCCAAGGTTGAGGATTTTATGGGTTATAATTACATTATTTCCTGAGGTCTCCACTACTGCTGAGAGTGACTCACTTAGCATATATTTGGGTATATTCTCCCCCACAGTTATTTAGCAAGTGTGTGGAAAAGAGAATAAAGTTTATCCTTGTACATATTTCTGGGCTGTACAAAATTTGCTGGTGAGTTTCTTGTATATTCTCAGCTCAGTTTCAAGCATTGTATTATAGTTAGACGGTCAACTTCTTTATACTTGATCTCTAACATGGTGTTAAACAGTTGTTTATGTTAGTTATGATATAAAATTATAGCTTGAGAATATGACTTATTCTGCTTTTTATTTTTTATTTTGGTTTTTTGAGACAGGGTCCTGCCATATAGTCCAGCCTGGCCTTGAACGTACTATGTAAGCCCAGGCTGGCCTCGAACTTGTGACAGTCCTTCTGCCTCACCTTCCAAGTGCTGGGATCACAGGTGTGCGCCACCACGCTTGGCTGTCAACTTGTTTACATACTGACATATTTTTCTCTATTTTAGCTGTGTTGGAGTAGAAGAGCACCATGCTGTTGACATTGACCTGTATCACTGTCCCAACTGTGCACTTCTACATGGCTCCTCCTTGAGTAAGTACTGGATGCCTATATAGAAATTGACATTTTGAACTTAACACGATATAATAATACTTTAATAATACTCCAGCTGAGGGCCGGGGATTTAGCTCAGTGATTCTGCTGCCTGCCTCACAAGCACAAGGACCTGAGTTCAATCCCTGGAACCAAA